TGGGACGGAGGAGCCAGCCACGGTGAACACGATGGCAAAGGTGGTTTGGCGTAGAAAGCAGGTAGCAGTAGTGGGTCGGCCGAGGAAGAGCAAGGGACAGAGGGCACAGAGGGTCAGGGAGATGAGGAGCGTGTAGCTGAGAGCTCTGTTGTTAGCCCTGACCACGGGTGTGTCCCAGTGCTTCAGGAACACCCCAAGGACCAGCACTGCCAGGGCGGCCAACATGAGTGCTACCAAGGCCAGTGTGAGACCCAGGGGCTCATCAAAGGCCAGGAAGGTCTCGATCCTGGGTAGGCAGCGGTCTCTGGCAGGGTTTGAATACTGCTCCTTGGGGCACAGGAGACATCTCTTCATATCTGTGGGAGACACAGGACTTGTATCTTCAACCTGCTGAAACAATACCAGCTACATGCAGGGATGTTCCCTATGCACCTGGTGTACTTGAGAGATTTACATGTGAAATGTCTTTATGAATGATCTTAGCTATCTGTTCCAGAATGTCCACATCCAGGCCCGAGACACACACACAGATACACACAAAAAAATGCACCCTATGTACATGTCTTTATGTGTTTTATTTTTTGAGAGATTTTTCCTATAGGGTGTGTGTGCTCTTCAGAAAGACAGACAGAAATAAAGAAATCACCCCCAGGGGAGATGGCCGAACCGCAAACCCTTCTCCTCCATTCTCCTGTCAGGATGGTCTACTACATGGAAGTACAATGACGTAGCCATTACGCCAACTGCTGATCCCTTTAGGTGTCTTTTTAATGGTTAAGTTTTTGTATTTATTTCTCTTATGAGAGAAAGACAGACACACAGAGAGAGAGAGATAAAGAGAGGCACTCCCAATAGAGTCTCCATGTTGTAATCACCTTTTCTAAAATTTAGCCAAGAGTTCACCTATAGCCACATCTTCTGTGTTCAAGCTGACCTGGGGTCCAACATGGAACTTTTCATATGGCTCCATAATTGCACAGTGCCAGACTGCCCAGATCATCGCAAATGAGGTCACAGATACAGAGAAGACGTATAAGGACAAAGTGCGAAGGCGCCATCTGCACACCAAGATGAGAATCCTCAGAAGAAAAAACACCTTCTACCACTTGATCTCAAACACCTAGACTCCAGAACTCTGAAAAAGTTAATTTCTCTTGGTTAAGCCATCAGAGAGTGCTATTTCGTTATGTGGTCTGTAACAAACTATTGTAATTATTACCAATTCTACCCCCAGTTCTTGTGTTTATTTAAAAATCACTGCTCTAGGGGCTAGCAGGTGGCATAGTGGTTAAGGCACTGGACTCCCACATGGCCAATCATGGTTCGATCCTGGACCTGGTGGTTTGCATTCTCATTTTCTCTCTTTCTCACACTTTGTCTATCTCTGGTCAGTTGTAAATATAATAATGATGAATAAAATTAAATTAAAATAATCCTTTGGTAAAAAATTATGACTCTGAACCACAATGAGATAGCATGAACTGCCCATCAGAATGACTGAAATGAAAAGACACATCAACTCGGGAACCAGCAGTTGGCGTAATGGCTATGTCGCTGGACTCCCACGTAGTCGACCGCAGTTCACGTCCCGGACCTGGTGGCTTAAAAGTCACGTGTGTGTGCGTGCCCAAGATCCGAGGAGGAGAATGGAGAAGGGATTGTGGTGTGACCATCCCCCCTGGGGGGTGATCTCTCGCTTTCTGTCTCTATGTCTCTCTCTGTCTGTCTGGTGAGCGCACGCACCCTGTAGCGAAAACCTCCCCAAAAAAAAAAAAAAAGACACATCAACTTGATGGCAGTGAGCACTGTGGTAGGCAATCACGTCCACACCCTAATCCATGGAACCGCTGAATATCTTACCTCACATACAATACAGACTTTTCAGGTGTGATTAAGTTAAGCATTGTAAAATGAGAATTTATCTTGTATTAGCCAGGTGGGTCCTATGTCATCATATGAGCCCTTCAGAGTAAAAAAGGGAGGATGAAGGGGAAGGCAGAGAAATATGGCAGAGAAAGAGGCAGATGAGAAGTGAAGCATGAGAACAATGGGGCCTATCATTGCTGCTTTGAATTTGGAGGGAGTCCTTGTGGCAAGAAATACAGTAGGCTTCTAGCAGCTGAGAATGAGCCTGAGTGACAGCCCTCAAGGAAGCTGGGTCCTCAGTCCTACAACCACAGGGAACTGAATTTTTCAACAACCTGAATAAACTTGGGAGCAGATTCTTCTCCAGAGCCTCCAGTAAGGAGCATAGTCTTCCAAATGGTTTATTTTAGCTTTGTGAGACCTGGAACAGTGGGTCCAGGTGAAGCTTGCAGCATCTGATATGTTGACCTATAGACACTGTGAGATATTAAATGTGTGGTGTTTTTACCAGACGACCTCATGCTAATTCATTATAGCAGTCGTAAACAACGAATACAGGTAGCTATTGGGCATCGCCTTCCCTCCTAGTGGGAGTGTGGACTGGTACAACCACCAGCATTTATTTGAACTGTATGTACATTCTCCTGAGTCCCAGCAGTGCCACACCCACAGAAATCCATCCAAATGTCCTCAAGAGACAGCAACCCTGCCCATTACAGCCCCAGTCAGGAATCCTGCCAAACCTCCATCCCTGTTGGAATGGATGAAGAGGGCATGACCATCCACACAGTGGGACCCTAGTAGACACAACAACAAGAGAGCTACAGCAGCACACAACCACTGGGATGACTCTAACAAACGCCATGGAAGAAAAAGTCAAACAGAATGAATGCTGAGATATTCCACATATAAGTGGCTGAAAATCAGATGAAACCCACTGACACCAAAAGACAGCAGGGGAGGCGATGATAAGCAGAAGCACAAGGAACTTCTGGGAATGAATCATTTCCTGATTCTTAATCAGAGGACCAAGAACATAGACTGTTCCCCATGTGAGAATTCACTGGGTCGTACCCTTAGGATATGTGCACTTGTCCATACGGTTTACCTAGACCTAAAATGAGAATATCCTCCCGGCCAGCTTCCCGTGGCCAAAGTCCACAGAAGGCTAGAGATGTGCATCTCACTGGACTGTGAACCTGAGAGCCTGGAAGTGCCTTGACGGCCCCTAGAGATCCAGCTTCCCCAGCCCTCACCTCCTTGGTCTGCGAACTCTCCATCAGGGCAGGGGCTGCACTTGAAACAGCAGTGGGGAAATCCCTGTCGGGGGATCTGGCTGGATCCTGGAGCACAGCTCCTGCTGCAGACAGACCTGGGAACCTGAGGGCAGAGGAGCAGGTGATATCAGTACTGGCCTGGGGGTACAGGAGACAGGTGTCCTGCACCAGCTCAGAGAAGCTTCCTAGTGTCCTCCCACCCACAGAGGGAAGTCACCTCGGTTACCTCAGAGAGGAGGGCCGGACAGGTGCCCACAGAGTAGCACCTGTGAGCCCTTGCAAGGGCTGTGCCGGGCTCACCTGGCTGATGGTGAGAAAGGGAGCCACGCGGTGTGAGATGGGGCCTCCCAGTCTCCCAGAGCCCTACATCAGGCATTGTCGGTGTTTTTCCCCTCTGCACACACACACACACACACACACACACACACACACCACCTTACATTGCACAGCCAGAGGCCTCCTGTAAACACTGACCTACAAAGGAATGGTTCTGCCTCCTTCAGCCCACCTCCCTCCTGCAGGGAGAAAATATGGGTAGGAAGGTTGAGATGAAATGCCTTTCAAAGTGCGAAATGCTGGGTTTCTCCTACTCTCAGACAGGAACACAGCTCTCCCCACCCCCAATTCAAAAAATCTTTAGGGGTTAAAAGGCGATGTAGTGGTTAAGGTTCTGGACTCACACATGGCTGACTGCGGTTTGAGTCCTGGACCCAGCAGCTTGGCATTTGTGCATGTGTGCTCAAAATTCCAAGAGGAGGATGGAAGAGAGGGGATTATGGGATGACCAAACCCCCAGAGAGGTGATTTCTCACTTTCTCCCTCTCAGTTTCACTCTCATAAGTACATGTGTCCTATGGCAAAAACCTAAAAAAGAAAAAGAAAAGAAAAAAAAAAGGAATTGATTCTCACTTGGAAAACTTTTAGGCCAACAGTGACTGTAGGTGCTTTAGAAAACAAAGGTGCCTGCGCCTATGCCTTTACCACCACCCACCAGTATCCACCCTCACTGCCGTCCTGCACTGTGGCTACTACCCCATGGTCTGCCTTCCTGGCTCAGTACCTCCCCCAAACCGAGTTAGGGCCCAGCTATATCAGGACCAGAGAAGTTGGGTAAGTTGAGGGAACATGGCCTCTGAGGAAAGGCCGATCACTGACCCTTTTATAGTCCACAGGTACTAGGGTCACAGTACCTATGGATTCCAGCAATCCCAACCACAGAAGAGCAAGGAAACTGACACAGACTTAACATACATCATAGGGAGGAATGCCCAGAGGAGAACAGAGAGATAGAGATAAATACTGTGACAAAGCTGCATCGTTGAGACATAAGCATTACACCGTCTGCTGGTCCCAATATTTCCATTTTTGATATTGAGTAAATTACTTTCCTCATTCAGGTTGCTCTAGTAAAGTTAAACAGCATAACTGAGCTATAATCTGTCCAGTGGAGAGCTGTGTCCACTTCATGAATCAAGTAGGGCACAAACTGTGCTCCTAAACTCCCTCTGAGTCTAACACACCACGACTAGGTCATTTATACACCCAGGAAACTCACCTGAAGCTCCTCCTTCATCAAGCGGACTGTCATTCTGTCCCCTGAAGAGGCTCCAAGGTCAATTGTGCCTATGTGAACGAAGTGAAACAGGCCCTCTGTTGACTTCTGCCCATGAAGAATGTCATATTGTATAACCAAATCTCCATTCTTATCAAACATGATCTCTTTCCCATCAGCAGTCTTGAAATGCACTTTCCTTAAGGGACAAAGAAGCTGGAGAACAAAAGGTGACACTGGTGACTGGCCAGGGCCTCACCCACATTTCTGCCCAATATGACTCTGGCCGTTGCTCGCTGCAATGAGCAAGTGATGTTCCAGGCAGGGCTGATTTATTCATTACTCACAGGAGGTGCAGGACTGTGTACTTACAGATTGACCAAAGAGTTCCAGTTTTAACAGCATGTGAAGTCAAGAGTAAAAATTAATAGAAATTTAATTAACACAAATTAATGAATCTAGCCCAGAGTGTATCATCTTTATACCAAGGAAGTATAAAATTGAATGCTTATACTTTTTTTCCTGTTTCAGTGTGGGTCTGGCTCTAGGAACTGTCTTTGGTTATGAACTCCCATCCTCAGCCTTCCCATCAAACTCCAAGTGTAATCCAAACCCTGTCAGGGCCTACCTGAACTGGCCTCTGCCCATCTAGATATCCTAATTCCTTGTCCAAGTCCCCCACGCTCACTCTGCTGCAACAGTGTGGCTTTTCTTACTCATTCCCATGCTAGGGTCTATGCTGTTCTCATCAGCTAAGCACCAGTACTTCATTCCATGGCAGGCCCAGATCATCATCTCTGCTCTACCTCCACAGCTCAGACAGAGTGAGCTCCCTGCTCTCTGCCCTTCCCAGAATCACTCACTCATTTCCTTCTCACCTGCCAGGGCTGTAAGTGCTGAGGGTCTGCACAGGCTGCGTCCTCATGCTCACAGGCTAGCAGGTCCTGCAGGGCATGGACGATGCTGTAGACTCCTGTATATCCAGCGTCCAATTCAAACAGTTCCTGGAAAGGATACTTCTGATCTCTCAGACTCTCATTCCCTGAGCAGAACCGGATGGTCCCTGCTGCTGCGCTGTTCTCCTGCCCTGGGATCCTGTGGGGCCATGTGCACCTGAAGGTCTCTTCCCAGAACCTTTCTATGAACATGTCTTCTGGGCTGCGGGTGGGATGCAGGTGAGCGAGAAACTCAGGGAATCCAAAGACCTGAGGGGCGTCCTGCCGAAGGCTGAACGAACTCTGCAGGACTTGAGAGACACCTGGCATGCTCAGGGCGATCGTGATATGCAGCGTGTCCTGGCTGACCCAGACCTTGCCCAAGACACGATGACGATCCAGTAAGCCTTGCAGGATGAGCTGGAAATTCGAGTTGCTCAGAAAAACCAGAATGACGGTGGCAGTGCAGCTCTCCATGGTGTAGATGATGGTATCAGTCTTCCCCAGGGACTGCTGAGAGGGGATGTGCAGGTGGAACTCAATGCAGACCCCAGCCTGGCCCAGCTCCTGGGTTACCAGAGAGCTCCCCTGCTGCCCAAAGTCATCATCCTGTGCCAGAACGCCCACCCAGGACCAGCGGAAGTGGAGCACCAGCTGGGCCAGTACATGAGAGGTTGTGAGGAGACTGGCAAGGGTCCGAAGGAAGGAAGGAAACTGGGTCTTGTCGCTGAGACTGGCCAATGAGGATGAGTGACTGACCTGCAAGGGAAGAAGCCAGGATATAGGAAAATGCAGGAGAACCAGGAAATCAGGCACAGGTTAACCATCGAGTCGAATGGATAGGAAGCTGATGTAATAAGAACACAGAGAGGGGGATAAACTCATAGTGTGTGGCCCCAGACAAAGTCCCCCCTCTCGAGAACATTCTCAGTCATGGGATAAAGGGGATGGCTGGTCACCCAAGAGAGAACCTGGGCCATGACCATCTCTTGGAAACATTGGGGGATCTGTTAGATCACCAGTCCTGGAGCATCCCCAATATCCAAAGTGCGACCTGGTGAAGGTGCAGCTGTGGATTTGGAAAGAGGTCCAGGTGAGGCCTGGAGTCTGTGTGTCTAACAATCTCCCTGTTGATGGCAATGTGCAGCCTACACATTTGAGTAGTGAGGTCCTAGTCTACGCTGGAATCATCTAGATAACATTTTAAACTACAGATTCTTGAACCAGCCCTATGACTTCCTGTTCTCTCACTCACAAGTTAGATACATCCTTCTGTCACTCCCTCATTGTGAGACAGTCTACAGGAGAGATTTGTAAATGATGCTGTGAGAGCTATGGGATTCCAGGAGATGCTCAGGTGTCTCACTTGTTCCTGTGCCCCTTGTGGTTGGTTAAGTCCAGACACATCCCTTTTATAGTTCCTGGCATGAAATTCAGAGAGCAATTTAACTTTACTGGCCTCTATGTCCCTCTTTTGTGCACCACTTGGAGATAGCCATCTTTCTTTGTTCTAAAAATTTCTTCCTAAGGGGTCTGGCAAAAGCCACACCTACTTGCTATCAGTCTTACTAAACAGGCCATTTTGCATCAGTAATTGTGGCTTACTTCTCTTTTTAGAGATTTTTGCTATAGGGCATCTGTACTTGCCAGAGAGACAGAAAGAAAGAAATCACCCTCCAGAGGAATGGTCACACTGCAATCCCTTCTCCTCCATTTTTCTCTCGGAATTTGGGGTACGCACATGTGCCCAATGTGTTTTAATACACCTGGTCCATAACTTGAACCACAGTCAACTACATGGGAGTCCAGTGACGTAACCATTATGCTATCTGCTGGTACCTATGGCTTACTTTTTAAAAATTAATTAATTAGTTTACAGTCATTCACTGCACAACAATGCAGTATAGAAAATTAGATTTTTCATCCAGTATACATTGTACATTGACTCAACAAAGAATATTACCATACATGTTATCAACAAATAATTTTCCATTTCTTGTTTTTTGTATATTTTGCTCTTTCCCCTCACCCTTGATTCTCTACCTCTCACCCTCTGCCAAATCCCTGCTTTTCCCATACTGTCTTTGGTATGTACCCTTGTTTTCCATGCCTTTTTTTTTCACATTTTATTGATTCACTAAAGATCTTAATTAATTTAAAGACTTTAAATAGAGAGCACAGCTGATATATACATATTTATGAATGCATGTCTGACTTTAGGCATAAACATGTGAGTAAAGTCAACATTCTATAAACTAGCACCTCGCTGGGGCTATATAGCTTACTCTACTCATTAAATAGGTATTAATATGTATTTATAATGCATTTTTTAATTTCAAAAAACGTTTTAGTTTTAATAGGTCAAAATCAAAAAATGTTAAGAGAAATTTTCTTAAAACTTAAAGCCAGGGGAACCAGCAGTTAGCGTAATGGCTATGTCGCTGGACTCCCACGTAGTCGACCAGGGTTCGCGTCCTGGACCTGGTGGCTTAAAACTCACGCCAGGCGCATGTGCGTGCGTGCCTAAGATCCCGAGAGGAGAATGGAGGAGAAGGGATTGCGGCATGACCATCCCCCCTGGGGGGTGGTTTCTCGCTTTCTGTCTCTATGTCTCTCTCTGTCTGTCTGGCGAGCGCACGCGCCCTATAGTGAAAACCTCTCAAAAAAAAACCCCCAAAAAAACAAAACAAAACAAAAAAACTTAAAGCCAGGAAAAAGGTTAGGATTCAGGTTTAATAGTAGGTAGATGAACCTATCAACAGTTCAAGACAAGACAAAAATCCTTAAATACGAAAATCAAAGCATCGAAGAAAATCAATAGTGTTTTAGTATAAAGTAAAAAAATTCTATTTCACTAGTTTAGACTTAGGTCATTAATCTCTCTTCTATTGAATTTATAGTGTTAATTGTGGTCTGATCTTTCCATTTAAACTCTGGAAGTTAACATTCAATTCCAAATTTGTCCCTACCATTAGGGTGGCCATTCTCTTGGTTGTTTCCTGTACTCTTATTTCTGTGTGTCCTACATTAGGTTTCCTGGTATAGCACTCCCTTCTACACTTCTTGGAGAGCTGTTCTGGTGTTGGTAAATTCTTTCAGGTTTTGTTTATCTGAGAATGATTTAGTCTTGTTTTCCCATATAAAAGATAATCTTGCTGGTTATAGTATTCTTGGTTGAAATTGTTTTTTATATAACATTTTTAATATATTTTGTCATTCTTTCCCTGCTTGCATTGTTTCCAATGAGAGGTCTGACATTAGCCTTATGGGATATCCTTTGAAAGTAACTTGATGTTTCTCTCTTGCCAATTTTAGTATCTTGTCTCTGTGGTTTTGGTCAATCTGGTTATGATGTACCTTGGAGAAGATCTTGGGTCAGTTCTATGTGGGGTCCTTTGTATTTCTTGGGTCTGAATATTTGAGTGCCTCTCTCGGTTTAGAAAGTTTCCTTCCAGGATTTCATGGAATATATTATCAAAGCCCTTATTAGTCTCTTCACCTTCTGAGATACTGGTGATCTGGATGCTTGGGCGTTTAATGGTATCTAGTATTACTCATATGTTATTCTCATTTTTGGGTTATTTCCTCTGTCCTTTTGGTAAATTTTTCTAGGTCCAAGATTCTATCTTCTACATCTGAGAATAAGTTGTCTGCATGATCTAATCTGCTTTTGATATTTTCAATGGAAATTTTGATTTCCTGTAATACAGCCTTCATCTCTAACAATTCTATTTGATTCTTCTTTATGACATGTATCTCCTCTTTCAGATCATACAAGGACTTCTGTAGCGGGCACTGCATATGGAAACCATTTTGAGCTATCCGCCATCTTAAGCTATTTACTATCTTGGAAACCATTAGTCTTCACTTCCTCAGTGAGCAAACTGTTTCTCAGAAACCATGTGACCAACTGTTCTCCCGGAGGGGCGGTTGGGTTTCTAGGCAATGGGAGAGATCCACCCACACCAATAATTGGTTCATGCTGTTCTATCTCATTTGCATTTCGGGCAACCAATCGGTGCCCACCAGCCTGTATATAACTCGCCATTTTTCCTCAATAAACGGAGGAAGAAGATGGAAGACTTGATCAGCACCTCGTATTGTCTCCACTCTGTATGTGTGTGTGCGTATGTTTGTCCCATCTCTCATTCCCCAAGAGAACCTGTTCTACTGTCCCCAGGTCGAAATAGACTTCCTCACCTCCCAGAACTCAGTGTCTTTTTTTCCCTGCATCTTCTGAAGTTTGTTTTTTTCTATTCTCTTGCATCTCTGTTAGCATCATCAGTATGAATATTTTAAATTCTTTGTCTGACATTTCCCTGAGTTCCCTTGTATTCTTTGTGGATGAAGAGGAGTTACTCTTTTCCATTAGAGGAGAGATATTTTCTTTGTTTCTCATATTTCTTGTGCCTCTTTGGTGGTTTCTGATCATCTGATGGATTATACTTTTTTTCCTGGCTCCTAGCTAGAGTGGGGAGTAGGAGGGTGAAGTATGAGCAGAGAGCCTTCGGTGGCCAAAATCCCTGAATCCTGTGGCTTACTCCTTAATCCATTACATTGCATGATGATTAGTAAACTTGCTTATTTATAATATGTTAAGACTAAATTTAAACATCCCTTCCCACTGGCCCCAAGTTTTAACAAAGCTTTGTGGTTTTTTTTGTTTTTTTTTGTTTTTTTTTTTTTTTTGGCCAATAAGAAACTAAAAATCTCTCTCTCTCCTTTTTCAAGAGAGATTTTTGCTACAGAGTGCGTATGCTCGCAAGAGAGTCAGAGAGACATAAAGTGAGAAATCACTCCCCAGAGAGATGGCCATGCTGCGATCTCTTCTCCTACATTCTCCTCTTTGAATTTTGGGCATTCACGCAGAGGTGACCAATGTGAGTTTTAAGCCACCAAGTATGGGACTCAAACAAAAGTCAACTATGGGGGAGTCCAGTGATGTAGCCATTACACCATCTGCTGGCCCCAGAAAACTAAAAAATCTCTTAAACATCACTTGTAGAGAAGCCCTGCTTCAAGAAATCTGATCTCTTAGGCCAGACCAATGTATAATCTTCATATATTGATTTATGGCTTTTGCTTTCCTGAGCTACATAAAAGACATTTTATCTCCTTTTTTTAGGGCTTATTGGCTTTGTGTTTTCATACCATAGTCACTAAAATTGGCATAGAAAAAGCTCCTTCAATATACAACACAGTTGGGACCAGTAGTTAGCATAATGGCTATGTCGCTGGACTCCCGTGTAGTCGACCGTGGTTTGAGTCCCAGACCCGGTGGCTTAAACTCACGCCGGTCATGTGTGCATGTGTGACCAAGATCCCAAGAGGAGAATGGAGGAGAAGGGATTGCAGCGTGGCCATCCCCCCTGGGAGGTGATTTCTCACTTTCTGTCTCTCTGTTTCTCTCTCTTCTCTATACTATGTTCTATGTTTCTGTGTTTTGGCCAGCGTAGAAACTGATTTTAGTCTGATTTACACAGACTTGAAGATTATTAGCCATTGGTAGTGACAACGATTACAAGCTCCTATAAAATTTATAAATTTTGTGCCTTGTTTCCTTTAGGGAGTCAACAAGTTGGTTGGAAACCAATTTAATTGAGAGTCCTATAGCTTATCTGACAACCATTCATAAATGGGAAAACAAGACATCTTGAACACTGTGAAAGAAATGAAGTTTTTAATCTTTTAAATGTGCTTGAATTTGAAAGGAAAGAAAAGCATTTAATGTAAGAATCAAGTTAATTAACCAGAGCGAATCCCTGGGCAAGTCAACCTGGCTTGATCATAAGCAATTTAGAGTGCACTAGGCCAGTGGGTGTCGCTGGAAAGTAGAGACATTACAGTGACTATTAGTGAGCCTATGGGATGCCTCTGTGGGACCTGGCCCCAAAGATAGCCACAATGACTGAAAATGGTGATAATGAAAAAATGGCTAATCTGGAGGCCAAAATCTGTCATCAAATTGAGTATTATTTTGGAGACTTCAATCTGCCATGGGGCAAATTTTTAAAGAAATAGATTAAACTGGATAAAGGTTGGGTACATTTGGAGATCATGATAAAATTCAACAGGTTAAACCATCCAATGACAGACTTTAATGTAATAATGGAAGTGTTGAGCAAACCCAAGGCAGAACTCATGAAAATCAGTAAAGATAAAACTGAAATCAGGAAGTCTCCAAGCAAAACCCTCCCTGAAGTGACTGACGAGTATAAAAATTATGTAAAAAAACAGATCTGTTTGTATTAAAGGCTTCCCAACTGATGCAACCTTTATGATATAAAAGAGTGGTTAGAAGATAAAGGTGAAATAGTAAATATTCAAAGAGAAGAACATTGCAGAAAGCACTTAAGGGATCAATATTTGCTGTGCTTGAAAACATTGCATCTACAGAGAAGTTTGTAGAGATCCCTAGTCAGAAGTACAAAGGCACAGAGGTGCTAATACTTTTCAAGGAAGATTACTTTGCAAAAAAATAAATGCAGAATGAGGACGGCATAAAGTGGAAGCAAAATTAAGAACTAAACAACAAGGACACACTATGTCACAATCCTGTTACTTCAGCCTCCCAAATTGCTGGACTACAGGCTGATGCCACCATCCCCAGCACTTTCAGACAGGGCCTCGCTATATTCCCCACATGCCCCACACTGGCCACAAACTCACAATCCTCCTGCCTCAGCCTACCAAGTAGCTGGGACTACAGGCTCACACTACCACCACCACCACCACCAATGCCAACATCAAGACAGGGTCTCACTATGCTGTGATCCTCCCCCCTCAGCCTTCAGAACTGAGACAACAGGCACTGGCCACCACACCCAGCTCTTTCAGACAGGGCCTTGCTACACTCCCCACGTGTCCCATGCTGACCACAAACTCCCACTCCTCCTGCTTTAGCCTCTCAAGTAACTGAGACTACAGGCTTATGCCACCATTGCCACTGCCACCACCACTACCGCTGCCACCATCACCACCACACAGCCACGGCCATGGCCATGGCCACCTCCTGGCTTTCAGGAGAGCAAGAAAAAAAAAAAAAACAGAAGTTAACAGAAGATGCCCAAATGAAATTTATATAAGAAAAGATTAGATGCTTGCTGAAATTTTTGGGTGACTTAGATGATGAGACCTATAAAGAAAATTAGCACATCGTTTTCTGAAATCATGGTGAAGATGGACAGACTTTATCAGAGGAGTAAAAGAGGGCATAATTCTGTTTAAAGAAAAAGCCAAGAAAACTAGAAAAAGCCAAAGATGCAAATAATGGTAACCTATTGGGAAGGAGCAAAGTAGTCACTTGGGAAGTACTAGAAAGAGAGGTAAAAAAGCAACATTGAAAAAAAAATCATAGAAGATCAGAAAGAATCCCTAAACAAATAGAAGGCAAAAGGTTGCAAATTTAAAGGAAAGGGAAATAAAGCTGCTCAGTCTGGGTCTACTAAAGGAAAAGTACAGTTTCAGGGCAAGAAAACCGAATTCCATAGTGATGATGATCATGAGGAAAATGGCGCAGCTCGACCAGTGAAAACAGCAAGAGAAGAAACAGCCACAAAAGTCCTGGCATCAAAACTACAGAGAACATAACATGGAGTGGAGACCGATAGTTTAGTGAGCACAATTTCCATTCATTTTAATTAGGTTTTAAGCTGCCTTTTGTCTTTGAAGCCTTTTAAAAAGAAAACCAAACTAGGTCCACTTCAATGTCCACCTGTAAGAATCGAAACATTTTTTGTTGTTTAAGTTCTCTTTTTGTTTTGTTACCCTCATGAGGAATTTTTAAAAACGAATAGTTATGTTTGGTTTATTCAGATGATTCAAATATCAACAGGAAGACTCTTCTTCTAAATTGCTTTTGTAATATGAGAATGTATTAGTATAAACAAATAAAATATACACTACAGGGACCAGCAGTTAGCATAATGGCTATTGCTGGATTCCCATGTAGTCGACCACGGTTCAAGTCCCAGACCCTGTGGCTTAAACTCACGCTGGGCGCGTGTGCATGCATGCCCAAGATACTGAGAAAATGGAAGAGAAAGGATTGCGGTGTGACCATCCCCCCTTATGGGGGTGATTTTCTCTTTTTTCTTTCTCTGTATTTCTGGTGAGCGCACATGGCTTATACCAAAACAAATATAAAATTATATATAATGTGTATGTGTATATATATATATATTTATACCTTCTGCTTCTCTCTGTCTTTCTGCTGAGAGCATGTGCCCTATAGCAAAAACTTCTTTCTAAAAGAAAAAAGCAGTTTAAACATCTATAATAGCAATGTGATTGTTGCAGAGATGCTATAGAAACCCGTTCTCTTTCTAATCCGGTTTAGAACTGGACTAATTGTGCAGTCAAGCCCTTTCCACACTGTGAAAACAATTCTGCCACATGACAAGCCCACCATGAAAGAGTAAGGGTTGGGCTTCCTCCATGGCACCAACACCCACAAAGCTTTTCCAGGAAACACCCCTTCAAACCATATGTGACATTTAAATCCCAAATCCATAGGTAGGAAGATAGGCCTCTCCCAGCAGGCCAGAAAACTTAGCAGATTTAGGGAACTCAAAGCGAGAGAATTTCACCCATATTTGCAGATTTCAAGTCAAAAATTAGTTGACTTGGGACCAGCAAGTGGTGTAATGCTTATGTAGCTGGACTCCCACATGATTGACTATGGTTCAAGTTCTGGACCCAGCATCTTGAAACTCACACCAGACACAGGGGCATGTGAGTCCAAGATACCAATAGGAGAATGGAGGAGAAGGGATTGTGGCATGACCATCTCCCCTAGGGGGTGATTTCTCACTTTGTGTCTCTCTAGTGAGTGCATGTGCCCTATATCAAAAATCACTCTCTAAAAAAATAAGAAAAACTAGTTGACTTAAATTGAAATCCTCATACAATGCTGGTGAGTATATAACATGCTACAGTTCCTTTTGAAAACAGTCTGGAAGTTCCTCACATATTTAAACATAGGTTTATTGTATGACTCTGCAATTCTATCCACACACCTGAGAGAATGAAAAGTAGATATACACACACAAACCTATACCTGAAAATTCACAGCAGCCTTATTTACAAGCAACAACTCAAATATCCACCTACTGATAAATGGATAAATAAAACGTGGTCTTTGCAGATAATGGATTATTTCTCAAGAATCAAAGGAAATGAAATATTGACACATGCTGCAGCTTGCATAAGTCTTGAAAACATCATGCTCAGTGAAAGAAGCTCATAAAATACTGCATATTGCATAGTTCTAATTGTATGAAATGTCCATAGAGAACAAATTTGTACATTGTAAAGTAATGGTTATCAGAGGTAAGTGATGGGGAGTTGTCACTAAAGAATATGGGATTTCTTCGTGGTATCATGAAATGTTCTCAAATTGATTGTGGTGATAGTTGCTCAACTGGACATAGGAAAGGCCACTGAGCTGTTTGTTTTAAAAAAGGTGAATTCCATAGTATGTGAATTACATCTCGATTAACCTGTTAAAATATGAGAAAAAAACAATAGGTACCATTTGGTATGGCCACTGTTGTGGAAATGACACTGAGGGCCTGAAATTCAGGGAACATCAGTGGGGTGTAGTGAAGCTGTAGCATGAGCTCTATTGCCTGAATTCAAATCCCAGATCTAGGAGCTCCTGGTGAGCTTGAGGCTTCCTCTAAATCTCAGTTTCCTCAGCAGTGCAGTGGGGATTATTGTTCTCTCAAACAAGGTTATGGTGAGGAAATTTTTTTTTGGGTACCTGGCCCCACAACAGCAGAATCTCAATTTCTACCATCATTGTCATTACCATTATTACAGTAGTGAAGGGAAAGACTCAGCAAAGACTCACCTGTGGGAACTTATAGAGCCCCAGAAGCCTGGCCATGGGGACAGACACGACTGACCGTGTGTCTCCGATCAGAGCAGGCCGGGGAGGGCTGGGTTGACACATGTAGTTGGGGACTGGCTCTTCCTGACCCGTGAGAAAGCTCATCGTTTCACGGAGGGCCCCGTGTGCTGAGTCCCCTGAGTTCCAGATGGAGAAACCCAGTGTGAGGTTGGGCAGCAGGTCAGGGTCCCTGTTGATCTCCTCTATGGCAAATACAAAACTCTGGGCCACACAGTAGTTCCATGGTGAAAGACTAAGGGATTTTTTTCATTTAAGATTTGTCATAGATGTTGGGGAAAGCAAGTGGTGTCGTGGTTAAGGTGTTGGACTGATCGTGGTTGAAGTCCCATACCCAGTGGTTTGAAACTCATACCGGACACATGTGTGTGCATGCCCAAAATCCTGAGAGGAGAAGGGAAGAGAAGGGATTGCAGGGGATGATTTCTCACTTTCTCTCTCTCTCCAGCAAGTGCACATGCCCTGTAACAAAAATCTCTCTCTCACTCTCTCTCAAAAAAAGATTTGTGGGATCAGCAGGTGGCAGTATGTCACTGAACTCCCTCATGACTGACCACAGATCAAGTCCTGGACCCGGCAGCTTGAAATGCACACCAGGTTCATATGCATGTGTGCCCAAAATCCTGAGAAAAGAATGGATGAGAAGGAATTGCAGTGTGGCCATACCCCTGGGTGGTGATTTTCCACTTTCTATCTCTGTCTCTCCAGCAAGCA